CTTTAGTAGTCCTGGACATAGGCCTCTCCTTAGAAAATAGGTTTTGGCCTACTATACCACGCTGGCCAGACGGATTGGTATAGGGTTTGTGCCAAGTTTACCTTCTCTTTGCAATGCTGTTGTCCTGCGTAGTTTGCTTTCTTAGTCGGCTCTTACGACACTCACGGGATGAATAGTGACCCCCCGTATTCTTAATCCGTCACCACACGGATACCATCAGTTGACCTGTCTGATTGTATACCCCCCATACCATAAAAAAAGCACCATGAACACTCCCAAGATTTTGAAAATGTTCTCTATATGATTCTCTTTACGGAATACGTACTAAAGTTTTTAGTTCTGCTATTTGTAGTATGACACTTGTTCTACAATACATCAGTAAATATTCATTAAAGATGTAAAAAATAATGAGTCTTAGAGTAAACATATTAATATTCGCATAAATATGATGTGTGTAATCCAACACTCATGGCCAACTCTGGATAAATATTTATCGCAAATGAAGTAACGCGCTAATGTGTGGTATATTACGTGAACGGCACTTCAAATATGATAATCTAATTTGTTATAATAAGCTTAAAATTTCGCGAAGAAGCCTTAGTAGAGCTCTTAAAATTCTAATTATGTCTTGTGTTACAATACGACTAAAGTTGGATCTAGAGTAAATGTAAAACTCGTAATGAAATGTTTGACAGTTCGCTGACGGTTGGCGCAAACAGTGTCTCAGGAATAAAATTTGTGGTGGTCATGTAATTATGACTACCACAAATTTTATATTATGTATGTATATGTATGTTTATATGTATGTCATCAGCTATCTGCCAGTGAAAGTCCCGTCGAAATCGGTCAAGCCGTTCCAGAGATTACCCGGAACAAACAGACAGACAGACCGACTAAAATTGTAAAAAATGTTATTTTGGCATATGTACCGTATAAACATACATATGCATTTAGTAAGAAGCGGTTATTTTAATATTACAAACAGACACTCCAATTTTATTTATTTGTATAGATGATAGAGAAAAGAGATAGGCACTCATCTAGTAGTATATTGGCTTTTTAAATGTTTAAATTGCTTTGTAATAAAACGAATCACAGAAATAGGAAGGAATTTTCCCTAATTTAAATTTCATTTAATTACAATTTTATATTAAAATTTAGAGGTTGAAACCTCTAAATTTTAATAGGAAGGAAGGAAGAATCTTCATTATTTTCTAGCTATGACCGACCTATTTACGTATTCTTATTCTCATTACTTTTAAGTATTCTATGGATACCTTAATTTCTATTTTTTTATTCTAACGCATCAATTTAGAACTCACTAAATTACTTGGTTAGTTAATCAGACAGTTTTTTTTAGCTATTATCGCTTTAAAACGATTCAATCAACTTTATTTTAAGCAGAAGTGTTATTTAGAGTAGGATTGAATTCTCTAATAATATTATATTTATTTAGTTATGTTAGCATTTGATACAAAATAATGTAGAACTACTACTTTTATTTAAAATAAGCTTTTAACAGGGTTTGTATGTTTACTAGAAGTACCTTAGAATTTTAATTTCCAGTGTGTGTTCCATTTGTCAGTAATAGAAAATAACAGGGCAGGGGGTGGGAAGAATCCTCGGGTAAGATGCATATCACCGGTTATTGTTACGAATCTTGGGGGAGGCTTGTGTGGCGGGAGCGGGGCGTTCGACAATCGACGCTGTGTTGCGTCTCAGAACCGTGACCGAAGAGGCGGTGAGCCGTGGCGGCGTGCTGTCCAACGCATTCAATAGTCTACTGTTCAGCTGCATTAGAGAAGCACTCCAATACCACGGGGTGCCAGAGTACATGAGGCGGCTAGTGGCAGACTATTTAGAGGAGCGCAACGTCATGTACGAGGACCGAAACGGTGCAGGGATCGGTTCTCGGACAACTCCTGTGGCACATAGGGTACGACTGGGCCCTTCGATGTCGCCTTCCCCCCGGGCTAGGCGTAATGTTTTACGCTGATGCCACTCTAGTTACAGCCCGGGGGCGAACTTTCAAGAGGCGGTGAGCCTGGCCACCACCGGAGTCTCGCTATTGGTCGGGCGCATTGAGGCGTTGGGCTTACGAGTGGCCCTGGATAGACGGAGGCCCTTTTACTTAATGGACCCCGTCGTGGTCCACCAACTCGGTCCTAGTACCGGTTTGGACCCAAATGAAATATCTGGGCCTGATCGTCAACGGGAAGCACTTCCGACAGCTTGCTCTAAAGCTGGTCGGCGCTGCGTCTGCCCTTGGGCGACTTTTACCTAATTTGGGTGGACCCAGCGTCTCAACGAGACGACTGTACACGGGGGTTGTTCGGTCAATGGCACTGTAAGCTGCACCGGTGTGGGCGGCGGCTCTGACCGCTTAGAATAGGGCACGCCTCTGGCACTCCGTTGGCGGTTAGAGCTATACGCGGTTATAGCTATACCTTTTCGTCGGAGGTTGAAATATTATAAAGTTACAGGAAATCGAAAATATTCTGAATGAATGAATCCCATTTTTTTTTCATTTGACCTTTAAATTTAAAGACACCATTGCTTACAGCCGTGGCAGAGCCATTTAAGGAATACTTTAGGAAGGATTTGTGGATGACAACATTGCCATATCTGGAAAATTAAATATTTCATTTCCTCATGTAATTGGAAATGTACCGTTTACTAAACTATTACAAAGACATCGTTGACCTTTTTATCAATGGCAGTTCAGTGATAGGTCATCGTACAGCCATTGGTCTTACATAGTAGAATAAGAAAGACTTGGTCCTTGTATATATGCCATTGATAAATGGATATTCGCAACTTTTGGTCCATAGATTACCTTAACACAAATATTGACATATCGACTGAAGCGTATCAACGAAAATGATATTCTGTGTAGTGCCCACTTAACCATGAATTTGTTTGTACCAATATAGAGATCTAGTAACGAGTCTATTTCTATTTTACAACCTCTTAACCCTTTAATAGTGTTATGTAAATCAAGTTGACCTAGTTAGGGCTTATTTATTTGGAAAAATATTGATTAACGTTGATTTTGTGAGCTTTTCTAGACACTTTTTGCTTCTCACTACCAACTTGTGGAACAAGATATCGGCTGCGCTATTTCCGGGCCGATTGGACCTACAAACCTTCAAGAAAAGAGCGTACTCTTTTCTCAAAGGCCGGCAACTCGCTTGTGACTCCTGAATTGCAGGTGTTCATGGGCGGCGGTAGTCGCTTTCTATTAAGCGACCTGTTTGACGCTATTCCATTAAAAACACATAGGGGAGAGCCATGCTTCGGCACTAACGAGCGGATTCGACCAAAGCGAAACCACGGTTTCTCAGAAAACCGGTTTAAGGTTACTGGAACGGAACTCACCCCTTCCTCCTGATTCTTGGGGGGGAGAGGGAGACTAAAAGGGCGCCAACGCACTTGAGTTGCGTGTGTCCATGGGCGGCGGTGGTCAGTCACCATAAGAGAACCTGAATGTTCGTTTTTTATTCTAAAAAATCTATACTCGTACCAGAAATTAAAAATTATACGTTTGAAAATAAGTGGGTGTTAATAGTGTTACAAAAAGCTATAAAAACAGAAAAAAACTGTGAATCGGTCTCGCACACTGCATACAAATAAGTATCTGAATCGTTTCTCGATCGATTCTAATTTTTCCCCTTATTTCTGAATGACAAATTCAATTAATTCTTGTCTTAAAATAGTCTCCCATATCTCGATATTGAAGTATATCGAGTTATGGGAGACTATTTTCAGATATGTCACAGATTATAACAATTGATAAGAATATAAATGAAAATTATAAAATGTTTCATGATACACTAATAAATATTCTGAATAAATGTATGAAAACTGAGTACAAAAACACTGGCGCACTGTAGGTATAAAAACCTCTCGCAAAAATAAATGTTTATTAAAAATCCTAGTCACAAAAAGCAAGAACCCTATACTAACTAAATATTATAAAAATTATAATATTTTAAATATGTATAAAATTCGATATCACCTACATTATGGAAGCAATAAAGTATTAGGTTTTCAGTCAATTTTCACAACACATAAGTTTGTAATCAGTTTAAATCCGAGCCACTTCTATTAAACCGGGTCGGTGGTGACCCAAAAAACCTGACGAGAAAATGATTACGAGGTAACGATTCTACCGAACCCTTAACTGTAACGAAAATGTTTTGACATTAATAACAAAAGAAAATACATTAATGGCGCCTATAGAATAGGATCGTATTACTTCATTTGTGTTCTCATACAATTCCTTATCTTATTCAAATTATTGCAAAATATTATATCAAGAATTTATTTTCAGTTACTAATCATTTTAAACCTCATTGAGCATTTAAGCACTTGGTAACAAATACATTCTAAATTAGTGACCCAGTTTGGCGTTATTTTCATCTCCCTTATTCTACGGCTTAACTGAGTAAATAAGTAAATGTTTTGTAATTCTCTGTTACAAAATAATTGTATTACACTGAAAGCATAATTATTAGCGCGTCTGCCAAAATGTGAAATACATGACAGAGATATATACTCACGCTTATAGAAATGAAGGGGTAGACACTGACTTTTCAGATACTATAATTTTAGTCGCACTTAAGTAATAGGGGGATAGTCCTATTGCCATCAAAGGCATCCTAGTGCTTATTTTTATGGTATGGGGGGACATAAGGATTAGACGGATCACCTGATGGTAAGTGACTACCACCGCTCAAGGACACCTGCAACTCAAGAGTCACAAGTGCGTTTGCCGTTCTTTCAGTCTGTCCCCAAAAATCAGGGGGAGGTAGAGGGTTTGGTCTGTGTCGATCCTGCTGATGATCCTCCTCATCCGGAGCGCTCGAGCAGGTCATGTACCTGTAATTCAAACTAGATTTAGCATAAATGTGAATAAAAAGAAGCGTATTAACAAAAACTTATTGTATTGTTTCAGAAAAACTCCAATGACGGACAAAACCTGAGTTCAAACAATCAAAATGGCGTGTAAGAATTTAACATACCTCATTTTAATTGTTCTCATAAAAGTCGGACTATCTATTGAAGGTGACATACAAGTTATAAACAATGATGTAAATGAATATGAAGAAAATGATAATAAAACGGATATGTTTGATAGTGAAATCTATAATACGTCTTACATAGATACAAGTAGACCTATAAATATAATAGTAAATAACGGACATCACAAGAAATGTGAAGCATTAAATACAACAGTATCTGATGATTTAGAATACATCGAATCGAATACATTAGATTCTGTTTATTTGAATAATATACATTCTAGTTTGACATCGAATCTAATAGAAGACAATTTGTCAGTTAGTACAATGAATGTAGAAGGATTTAATTTGTTCGATGTAGTGAATAGTGATTGTGGTGGCGCTACCGTGTGTCCCAGTGTGAGTGGCGATTGGACTAATGATAAAACTATTACTGTTGGGTTTCTTGGCGCCTACGGAAGAAGTCAGGTGAGTTTTGATTGTGTATTTTTTATAATAATTAGTAGTATAATTAGTGTAATATTGCACATATCCCGACGTTTCGACTAGATTGCACTGGTTGTCGTCACAGGCGGAAGCCGCCTGCTAAACTTGTTAATCATGGTAATTCCTGAAGTAATAGTTATATGGAACGCAAAAGTATAAAAGTTAGCACATTTAAAATCCAATCAAGTGCTTTCTAATTATAAAATCCTTAAAAGAGTATCACTAACGTCAATTATGATGAATTGCAAAAAACAGCATTTTATTTAAGCTTAAGCTCAAGCTTTTTTTTTTCAAATTTGAATGAACCCAAACAGGATATACTCTTTTTTATTTGCATTAAATTAAATTCTTTTTTAAATAGCCGAACTAAAAAGTAGAAAATAATTTTCTATGAGTTCAAAAAGAAAAATCATTTTATTTAACAAATGCGTGGGGTGCCAGATCTCAATTGTTGAAAAATATTTTATTAACAGATATTGGTAAAAGTAAAGTTATTATAGTATGAAATATCTTCAAAAGCACCCCACCGATTTTTTTTCGTTAAAATGATTTTTCTTTTTGAACTTTGAAAATCATTTTCTACTTTTTAGTTCAGCTAGTTACAAAAGCGCGTTTTTTAGTTTTTTTAACTAATTTATTTTGTTTTTCTTAATGATTATTTTCTCATTAAGACTAACAAAATTACAAATAAGTAAGTTACATATGCTTCAGCACACACCTCTTAGTACGAGGCAAAAGACACTACTGTATTTTTAGGTGTGAAAAAAGCCGTTAATCCTGAGGATCCTGATTAGGATGATCGGGTCAAATTTATCAAATTATTGTATTGTCATCGGTCCTTGATAAGTGTGCGAGGTTTTAATTTAATTCGACTTTTGAAGTTGGTCGAAAAACGCGTTCGAAGATGCTAATACACAAATACATACCTACATACCAAGCTAATAAAAGCGTGTTAAAAACGTACAGTCAAATGAGAACCTCCTCGTATTTGAAGTCAGCTAAAAATTAATCCAAACTTATATTATAAATGTGAAAGTAAGTTTGTTTATTTTGTTTGTCTTGCTTTCACGTCTAAACCACTAAACCGATTTCAAAAACTCTTTCACCAATGAAAAGCTACATTATCAGCGAGTAACATACGAGGGGTGATCAATAAGTAATGATAATCGAGTATTTCTAGAACGCACAAAAACCCAATTTTTTTTTTTCTGCTGGCTTATATATCCACTACTTCAGCTTCAAAAAAATTTATAAATAGGACACCATTACCGGGAGATACATTCATTTGAATACGAACTGTCGAAGAGAAAACATCAAAATGGAGAAAAATGAAATAAGAGCTGTCATCAAGTACCTCTGCCTGAAATGTCTACCAAAGACATACACAGCGACTTAGAGGAAACATTGGGGGAGTCTGCTCCTCCATATTCCACAGTCGCACGCTGGGCAAATTAATTTAAGCTGGGCAGAACCTCCACTGAAGATGAACATCGCGAGGGACGCCCTTCCACGTCCCTTACTGGAGAAAAAAAAGTGGAAGATATCGTGTTGGCCGATCGAAGGGTGACCGTAAGGCATGTAGCTGAGGTCACATGGCAGCGTTCAAAAAATCATTGTCAACAAAATGCATATGAAAAAGGTCTCTGCGCATTGGGTACCGAGAATGTTAACCGACGAGCAAAAAAAGAAACGAGTCGACATTTCGAGGGTGAATCTTCAAAAGTTCCAGGCCGATAAAGAATTTTTTTTGTCGCGTTTTGTGACCATGGACGAGACCTGGATCCACCACTTTGATCCCGAAACCAAACAACAATCAATGACTTGGAAACGAGCTTCCTCACCAACGCCGAAGAAATTCAAAGTGTCAAGTTCAGCGGGAAAGGTTATGGCGTCTGTTTTCTGGGATGCAGAAGGAATTATTATGGTGGAATATTTGGAAAAGGGGGCCACTATAACAGGCTCTTACTACGCAGGCCAAATAAGAAGATTGCGAGAAGCTATTAAGTCAAAAAGACGCGGTAAACTGCGCGCTGGAGTGCTGTTTCACCAAGACAACGCCCCGGCTCACAAAGCCGCAGTTGCGATGGCTGCCATTGAAGAAACGGGGTTCGAACTGCTCGAACACCCTCCCTATTCGCCAGATCTAGCTCCCAGTGACTTCTACCTCTTTCCTCGGCTCAAAGAACACCTCCGGGGCAACAAATTTGAGGACAATAGTGAAGTGATGGCCGCAGTAGAGGCATTTTGGGAGGGTCAAGACAAAGAATTTTTTTCTAAGGGAATCATGGGCTTAGAAAAAAGATACACTAAATGTATTAACTTGCAAGGAGACTATGTTGAAAAATAAAATACTTTTTTTAATCTAATAGTTCTGTTTCATATTGATTATCATTACTTATTGATCACCCCTCGTATGCTACCTTTTACCGCGATAACCGATATACTCGTGGGCGGAGCCGCAGGCAAAATCTAGTGAATTTTTAGACAATTCTATAATTACTCCTTTCGAAAAATAAATATTGATCTCTTTTGTGTATAACTTCTATTGCCATTTAAAAAATTACATTGTCGACATTAAATAACTGCCAAAATTCCATGTCATTTATCTTACAATTTTAGTAATTATTACGATAATCACCAACTATTATTTTGACATGTTATTATTTATGGTTTACTGTTTAGATTATCTTTATGCCTAAATTATTTCTCATGTTTTTACTTTCGCACTAAACTGCTAAAGATATAATTCCGCTAGGTATTTTCAATTAAAGAATTTGTACGCCATATGCCTAAACGTAGCGCACCAATTTCATACTGTAACACCCCACATATCATTGTAACCTACCTATGTTTACAAATAAAGCATTCTGATCAGAACTAGAAAATCTAGAAAAAATATTTCATATAATAGAAAATAATAGATTATTTTATTGTCACTGAAGATACATATGTACACCTAATTTGAGCTCAATCCGATATTAGAAAGTGGTTCTATTTTGGCTTCTAAATTTAGTACCGAACAATTTCGTTTGTATGTGTGTAACAAACAATGCAAGTTAAATAAAAGCTCTTTAAAAGAATAATAAATACTTAACCTCAGAGCCATAACAACATAGAGCTAAATCAATTGATTTATCAGGAAATGTACTAGAAAACTCACAAATACAATTCCGTGAATCTATCAATTGAAGGAAAATGTTATTTTTATCTGCAAATAGTCAATTTCTTGTTGCATGCGTTTCCTTTTGAAAATAATTCACAATTCGTTTTATTTAAATTTCCTTATGTGGTGAAATAATCAAAATTTTTGCTTATTTCATCAATTTATTTCGCAAATTGCGTTTCTCGCAATCATTTGTCAAAATCTTAAAACTTTACTTCATTTTCACGAGCTTTGCTCGGTTTTTTTTTTGGTAAATTTTCTAAAAATATAACCTACCTAGATCGATTAGGCGCCACCGACAACTTCTGCATACTAAATTTTATGAAATTGTTGGAGCCGTTCGAAATTCAGATTATATTTCGCGCACGGCTCCGCCCACGTGTTTGTCCCTTAACGCGGTAAAAAATATATGTTACTTTACTCGCTGACAATGTAGCTCTCTACTGGTGAAATCATTTTTAAAATTGGTGTAGTGGTTTAGGCACGAGAGCGTACCAAACAAACAATCTCATTTTCTTTAAAATATAAGTAAGGATTACTAAGATTTTCTGGGCATTTTATAAGATTTCCTCCTGTCAAAGTGTGAAGATTACTTAATTGTCTTATTGGATTAGGGACATGATTACTTTCCGTGATTGAGTTCCCAACAGCATTGTACCTAATCCAGATAACATATTAGGGACAATACTTTTTCTGTGTGGCGATGGATAGGTATTTTGTGACCGATTTATCCAGAAATAAACACGATATAAGAAATTTACAACGCAAGCCTCATAATTAAGCGTAAGTATGCATCAAGCAAGCGAATTACGCTATCTACCTACGATACTATAAATTCCGATTTCTATTCGGTTGCGCAAATTGACATTTAAATTTGTATTTTTTTTAACAAATAAACAAATAGACTTCTATCTTTAATCTCCGATACAAAGGTATAATAATATAATATTTATAATACATATTTATGGCACACCATGTGCCTGTCTGTGGCTTCATAGCGCCTAAGCGCATTGCCTGACTTTGACTTAGTTTTTGTGTGAAAGATGATCTGAGTGAAGGCGTTCTTAGACATTATTTAAAAAAACCTGTTTAACTGTTCGAAGATCAGCTCATTTCTGTTAGTTGAACGGATTCTTAGGTCAGGATTATTTTGTTTGTACTTGTTAGAAATAATTTGAGCAGAGTAAATATTTTCATCAACAGCCTTTAATAGTCCACTGCTGGATATACGAGTAGACCTCTCCTTAAAAAGGAGGGTTTGGCCACGCTGGCCAGACAGGTTGGTATCATTTTTGGGTCAAGTTTTCCTACTCTTTGCAATGCTTTTGTCCTGCGTAGTTAGCTCCCATAGTCTTACGACACCCACGGGATGAATAGGGGTGGTGACTCCCGGTATTCTTAGTCTGTCACTTAAATATATTACTCATTAAAATATATGTAATTCATGTGATTTGTGAAATAATAGTTGTTAAATAATGACTCTATGTAATATTTACTATTTTATTCTTAAAAATAAAGAATAGTTTAGTAAAAAATTGTAAAAAAACAAGATACAAACACATACATAAAGACGTACACACTTACCTACCTACGTACGAATCGAATACAGAACCCAAGGGAAGATTTAAAGCCGGTTTAATCCCCCTTAGATCTTACATTTTAGTCATAACTATTATTACTAAAAAATGAAATGACTTGAAAGATAAATACATTTACTGTCTTATACAGTTAACGTTTGATATTAGGTCTTTACCTATGAAATTGCCGTTTTGTATGCAATAAGTGGTCACATCTGCAACCAGCTTTGGTCAATCGGTCG